CCCCCTCCGCCCCCTCCGCCCCCTCCGCCCCCTCCGCCCCCTCCGCCCCCTCCGCCCCCTCCGCCCCCTCCGCCCGCTTCCCTCCCTCCTTTCGAGCCCTGAGCTTAGCAGCACCAGACCTGGCAGAAAGAAAAAAATGCCCTACTAGTTAGAGCCAATGGAAAGAGACCGCAACAGTGACTGTTGACGCTCTGAGAGCTAGCCCATCCCTGCAATACTGAGTGGGTTTGAACCGCAAGCAGGTCATCATTACACAACCAGCATCAGCTGGTTATTCAAAAATAGCAGCCTGGGCTCCTCCGCACACCGGAGCCAGCAAAGCTTCCAGCCCTTAGCAGCTCCGGCAACACACGTCGACATTTCCATACTCCTGTGTACAAAATAATTTTGTAAAGCCTTACCAAATACTTACTCAATTTTCACATCCACAAAGGTGGTCAGCGTCGTCCAATGCCCCTGATTCCCCTGGATTTAGCTGTTTTACATAAAATCCTCAGTTACTTAGGCAAAAGACCCAGAAATCGGAACATCTTGACCACACCTACCTGCTTCTCACACGCAGGGCATTTTACTCGCCCACACTGAGGAGCCTCTTGGAGCGTCTCCCTCTCAGCGTCCCAGGAAGTGCGTTCCCAGCGAGGTACACCAGAGGCTTCTGGGAGCAGAGTCAGGTTCTCCCGTAGCCCTAAACGGCAATGCCCTGGATGTCCGGGACTACAATTCCCAGAATCCACTGGGCCTCTAATCGTAGGCAACATCCTGCGACCACCACCTACCTTTCCCTTTCTCCCCCTCCGCCTCCCTGGATTCCTTTTGCACCTTAGGTTCCGTCTAGATTGGGTTATCGGTTAAAGAAAAAAAACACACACACACACACACAAAACGGCAAAATGAAACAAAACTAAAAGTAGTTTTGAGTTGCCCGTAAAGGTAATTTGCCCTTAAGAAGGTTAGCAAAAATTCTTAAATCTGGATTTTTTTTTTTTTCCTCAAAAGTGTTTACCTAGGCACAAAATCGAAAACAGCTCAGAGTCTAGAACCAAACAGGCCAGATTTGTATGGGGCTTTGCTGTGTATTGACTGGGTGGCCCAGGCAAGTTACCTCTCTATATCTGGAGATTATCTGTAAAAATGGGGATAATTAGATCACCTACATCATACTGTTGTCTTAAAAATCAAGGGACATAATATAGCTAAAGTATAGAACATATAGCTAGCTATTCAATATTTGAACTAACTTTACTCTCCCACACAATTTCTACTGTCCTGCCTCTTTCTTGTCCTGCATTAGTGAATGAATATCTGAATTAAAAGAATTCTGAAGTCCTAAATAGCAACGATCCGATCTTTTAAAAAATAAAGGATGCTGAAGTGTTGTGATGCCTACCACTTAAAGATGATCTCACACACACACACACACACACACACACACACCACACACACAAATGGATATGAAGTGTGCAAATGTGTACAACTGTTGCATTCATGAAGAATACATATGTGGGCCTTTCTTGTACTATTCCTTCACATTCTCTGTATCTTTGAAGTTTTTCAAAATAAAAAGGAAAAAAAGTATCTGAAAAAAAATCCAGATTTAAGAATTTTTGCTAATCTTCTAATGAGCTAGTCACCTTCACTGGGGCACCCATCCCAAGTAAGTATAACCTTGGGCAAGTAAGGTAACCCCTGTGTAACGGTATATCTACAACAGAAAATTGTGATGAGGGTTAAATGAATTACTATAGAGACAGTTACAACAGTGTCTAACATACGGTAAGGACTATATGTTTGCTATTAGCATTTTCCATTTTGTGTTGCTCTAGTAACAGGCTATTTGTCAGGAATTTTTTTTTTAAGTGAGGGTGGAGAAGCTACTATCAGTTCACTGCTACCCCCTTCTTATGTGTGATACTGCTTTAGAGGATGGATAAGGTTATCTAAGGCCAGAAGCTATGCGATCCCAAAGCCAAACTGGGAAATGTAATAATAAGGAAGAAAGATAGCACTGGGTAGTGAAAAGATTTCTGGGCTCCACGCCAGCTCTGGCAATAGCAGATGGAAAATGGCAATGTGACAAAGGATAATCACTTATTTCCTCTGAACTTCAGTTCTCTCATCTATAAAGCTGAATTGAATCAAATAACTATGTACAAAATCATTTTATAACTTATTTCCCAATCATTGATGAATACTGCCTGATTAGAGGACTTTAGCTGGGAAGTACATGCAATTGATTACAATAATTTTAAAAATCAGAGCACAAAAAGGAAGGAAAAACAACCTTATTCCTAGACTTACTGTTCAAGCTGGGGTCTAAAATGCCTGCCTCTGGAATAGCAAAGATAGAACAGAAAACTTAAAAACCCTGTTGGAGTTCAGTAGTTAGATAATTGGAATATAATTTTTGAAAGTACTTTAGATAAGAATTAAGATCTGCAATGAACAATCCTGGCTTTCCTGTTTTTCTCATTAGAGATTCTTCAAGGAGAAAAGTCAACTCTTAAATTCACTGCAATATACCATTCACCAATGAAATTCTACAGAGATTCCCATTTGGTCACTGTGTTAGTTTTCTACTGCTGCTGTGACAAAGTATCACAAACTCAAAGGTGTAAAACACAATAAATCTATTATCTTACAATTCTGGAGGTCAAAAGTCTGACACAGGTCTCACCGGGCTAAAATCAGGATGTCAGCAGGGCTTTCTTTCTTTCTTTACTGTTTAATAGATGTACCTAGTGTTTCAAAGTAGAAATGATCATATAATACATTCATATAATATGTAAAGATCTAATCAGTGTACTTGGGATATTTATTACTTTAAATATTTGTGTTTTCTTTATGCTAAAACCATTTGAATTCTCTTCTATTTTGATATATACAACACATAACTGTAAACTACAGTCACCGTACTAACATTAGTTCTCAGTTCGTCTATCAAACCATGTATTTGTTCCTATCAACTTCTTTTCAAATCCCTACTCCACCGTACACTTCCTGATCTCTGATGACCACCAGCCTAATCTCTATTTTCAGGAGATTCAATTCTTTATGTCCCACATAAGGGGATTCCCCTGACTGGTGCCCTTATTGTTAAGTGCTCTCCTCACCTTCACCTCACCTCCAGTTTCTTAATGAAGTAGACCTTCATTTTCATAACTTAAAAGGATATGGATCATTCCATAGATGTCTGTCTTCTAGCACTGCCTCTCACATTTCCTGTACATATAGGTCTCCAGCTTCAATCTAGGAATAAATTATATTACTGAGTTGTAAATCTATGCTAAGCATATAAAACAATGACAGGGAAAAATTTATTTTAAATTACATGTTCAATCCAGTTAGTGTATTTCAAAGGTGCAATACTTTTCTTCATTTTTTAGTGAAAGAAGGTAGGAATTAATTTTCCCCCAAATCAGGAAATAAAAAACAAATGTCTTTGAAAGTCATAGTCACATATATAAAAAGGAGGGACAAGACAAGTTCCACGCACTTTCACGAGTGTCATAAAATACTGGATCTATTCAAGGGTAGACAGAAAAGGCAACTTTCAAAAAGTAGTACATTATCAAATGAAGGATTTACTATACTCCTTCCTAAGGGCACCAGAATGAGAAGATGTTTTCTAAATGAAATCTAAAAAGTGGAATGTGGAACTAATCTGTCCTCCTCTACTTAAGGGTTGTACATTGGTTAATTAAAATAAACAAGACTAAAAATCAAACGCTACCCATACTCCCCCTCCCCCCCAAAAAAAGGGGAAAAATCCCACTAAAATATCCCAGATTACTCTCCAGAGTATAACCAGGGAGCAGTTTTAACAATTCAGATTAGTCTGTTACAAAGTCAACACAGCATGCCTTGCTTTTAAACAAAAAAATTAAATTAAAAACAAATTTTGGAACGATAAAAACTAATACTGGTCACTTTTCTGACAATACACAATTACTCAAAATTAACTAGTATTGGGAGAGGGAAGGTGGGGATATCTACGGGCCTTGTCTCACATGAGTACATGTACACATGTTGCAGGGCATTTCTCATTGCAAAAATGAATTTTGATTTTTAATCTCTAGTTTGATAAACACTGCTTTTGGTATGATGCCAATACCAGCTGCGCAGAAAAGGCTCTCGAAAGATGTTCATAGCAGCACACACTTGCAGCTCTTTTTCAGTTCTGGAGGCTCTAGAGCAGCCAATATTGCTTCATAAAATACATTCTTTTGGCCTAATTTTCAGTTTCATTCCAATGTTTCTTCATTAATTTTCTGTCTGGATGATGTGTTCATTACAGAGTGGGACGTTTCACTCCTCTACTATTATTGTATTCTTGTCCATCTCTCCCTTTAGATCTGTTAATGTTTGCTTCATATATTTCGGACCTCCAGTGTTGGGTGCATAGATATTTGTAATGTTATATCCTTTTGCTGAATTGGCTTCTTTATCATTATATAGTGACCTTCTATGTCTCTCTTCAGTCTTTGATTTGTAGTCAATTTTATCTGATTCAAGTATATCTACTCCTGTTCTTTTTTGGTTTCCAGCTGCATGTAATATCTTTTTCCACCCCGTCACTTTCACCAAGCGTGTCCTTACAGGTGAAGTGGTAGGATATAGTTGGGCTTTGTTTCATATCTATTCAGCTACTCCATGCCTTTTCATCGGAAAATTCAATCTATTTGCATTCAGAGTAATTACTGGTAAGAACTGCCATTTTGTTGCTTGTTTTCTGGTTATTTTATAACTCCTTTCTTTCTTCCTGTCTTCTATTATGATTAAATGATTTTCTCTCATAGTATTTTAATTAGTGCTTTTCATTTTTAATGAATCTATTATGGGTTTTTGTGATTACCATGAGGCTTACAAAAAATATTAAAGAGAGACAACTTAGATCACAAAAAAGTAAAAAAAAAAAAAAAAAAAAAAGAAAGGAAAGAAAAAGGATTTTATTTCTCCTTCACTTATGAAATCCCAAGGGGTGAAGTTGAGGCAGCAATTAATAGCCTACCAACCAATAAAAGCCCAGGTCCAGATGAGTTCACAACCAAATCTACCAGACACACAAAGAGGAACTGGTACCACTCCTTCTGAAACTATTCCAAATAATCTAAAAAGAGGGAATCCTTCCCAAATCATTCTATGAGACCAACATCATCCCGATACCAAAACCCAGCGGAGACTCAACAAAAAAAAACAAAACTTTAGGCCAATATCCATGATGAACACAGATGCAAAAATCTTCAATAAAATACTGGCAAACTGATTGCAACAGCACATCAAAAACCTCATCCACCACGATCAAGTAGGCTTCATCCTGGGGATGCAAGGCTGGCCCAACCTATGAAAGTCTATAAATGTAATTCACCACATAAACAGAACCAAAGACAAAAACCAAATGATTATCTCAATAAATGCAGAGAAGGACTTCAACAAAATTCAACAGCGCTTTATGCTAAAAACTCTCAACAAACTAGGTATTGATGAAACTTATCTCAAAATAATAAAAGGTATTTATGAGAAATCCACAGCCAATATCATACTGAATGGGCAAAAACTGGAAGCATTCCCTCTGAAATCTGGCACTAGACAAGGATGCCTTCTCTCACCACTCCTATTCAATATAGTATTGGAAGTTCTAGCCAGAGCAATCAGGCAAGAAAAAGAAATAAAGCATATTCAATTAGGAAAGGAGGAAGTCAAATTGTCTCTAGCTGCAGACGACATTATTATATATTTAGAAGACTCCATCGTCTTAGCCCAAAATCTCCTGAAACTGATAAGTAACTTCAGCAAAATCTCAGGATACAAAATCAATGTGCAAAAATCACAAGCATTCCTATACACCAATAACAGACTTAAAGAGAGCCAAATCAAGAATGAACTGCCATTCACAATTGCCACAAAGAGAATAAAATACCTAGGAATACAACTAACAAAGGATGTAAAGGACCTCTTCAAGGAGAGCTACAAATCGTTGCTCAATGAAGTAAGAGAGGACACAAACAGACGGAAAAACATTCCATGCTCATGGTTAGGATGAATCAATATTGTGAAAATGGCCATACTGCCCAAAGTAATTTATAGATTCAATACTATCCCCATGAAGCTACCTATGACCCTCTTCACAGAACTGGAAAAAAACCATCTTAAACTTCATATGGAACCAAGTGAGCCTGCATAGCCAAGACAATTCTAAGCAAAAAGAACAAAGCTGGAGGCATCACACTACCTGATTTCAAACTATACTACAAGGCTACAGTAATCAAAACAGCATTGTACTGGTACCAGTACCAAAACAGAGATGTAGACCAATGGAACAGAACAGAGGCCTTGGAAGCAATGTCACACATCTACAACCATCTGATCTTTGACAAACCAGACAAAATCAAGCAATGGGGAAAGCATTCCCTG